AAATCTCATTGACCAAAACAAATAAGCTACATTAATTTCATTTCAGACCACTTTTTTACGTATTCCAAAGGACTCAGGTAAAATATCATCATACACCAGTCCTCATTCACAATATCCAAACCAAGAATCACCACAGATTTAGTGAAATGTAGCATGTGGTGGAGTGGGATCCCCAAATTGTTTCAGTGTATTTCTCACAGCATAGCTTCAGTCCATTAAAATCTTGCCTATTGCTGGGTGGGCGAATGTGTTAATGTAGCTATATCAATGCCATTGCACTGGAAAAAAGTACTAGTATAGAAGCACCACACCAGTGTAAACATGAGTATAGTCAAGTTACAAAACACTCACAGCAGGTTATCCTGATCTAAGACTTATGGATCAGGTACAGATATTACCCTTTTATCAGTATAAGTGATCGGAAACTGGTCTATACTGGACAGTGCTAATACACTACTGTGCATTATTATTAGGCTATTGTACAGTACCAACACCTAAAAGACGTTTGCAGGTGCTACTGCACAGTAACTCTTATTATTTTACATGTACTACTTGCTCATAAAAGTACTAAATAAATGCAGAGTAACAACTATACAGTACTGTCTTGTGTAAACATGCCCAGTGTTTTCTGTTCGCTACCAATATAAACTACACCACTTACAGAAAACTGTGTAACAGATCAATTCCACATTGTGCTTTTTGAATATCTGTGCCTAGCCATGGAATTGAAAAAATTAACATTCACCAGGAAGACATTAAATGTTACACTCCAATAGGAGTAGCACAAGCACTCTTCCTCTTCTCTTGGTGAGGATAAGAGTTGGGGAACATAGGGGAAAATTGAAAACCAATTATGCTGTAGCTGTTTCAGACAGTCATGGGAATAGGAAAAAGGAAAGGAGTAAATCAAAACACTGATTAACAAATGTAAAAAGAGAAGGCAATAAAAATAGAGGTAGTTGCCTTTTAAGACTCCTTGTAAATCTATGGACAGACACTTCCATAATCTTCTTCCTGAACTTTTCAAAACTAACTGACAGCAAGCAGCACTTTAGGGGAAAAAAGCACATTGCAGTTTGCATCATATTATACATTTGTTTAAAAAGTACTTTTAAATGTTTAATATAATGTTTCTAGGAAAGATGCAATAATGGAACAGCAGCCTACCATGACCCACCAATAGGGACACCCAAATCAAGGCAGCAGCTGGGTGCTTTTGCAGCCAATTGTGGTGCTGGTCACTATTCTCGTGGGCTTATTGTGGTGAACCTCTTGCTGTGGATTGGCTGAAGGGCACTGAAGATCCTGCCCCTTGCCGCTGACTGGCTGAAAGGGCTGCCTTTTGTGTCTCCACCCCTCACTCCTGATTAGTAGAGAGGGCTGCCCTTCATGCAGCCCTGCCTCTCACCACTGATTGGCAGAGAGGGACAGGGCCATACAAAAAGCAGGGCTTTCAGCCAATCAAGAGGAGGGGGCGGCCACCATCTTGGCTGCTCCCCTTCATGCTGGTGGCTTCCCAACCTAGCGGGCTGTGAGGGGCCCGCAACTACCAGCTGCTTCCACTAGGGGGCCAGGATTTTAGTTTTAGTAATTATTTTTCTGGTGATTTCATGCAATATCACAGAAACTGCCATTTTTCACAGTTTTCACAAGAAATCGTGAAATTGCAATTTCACGAGGTCCCTACCAATGACCCAAAGATTCACTGATATTTAGTTTCTTAAGCAATATAATTGTTTGCAAGGAATGCAAAGATACCCATTCAAAGCTACCATGATAGTGCAGAGTCAGAACTATTAAGAGAGCCTGAAAAAGTTAAAATAAACGGCAAAATTTTGCCTCATGAGGCCAGTAGGTTGTAAGAGCTTAAGAGCAGATTTTGGCCCAATACCCACATTTTATCAACTGCTATGCAATTATCAGTTCCTTGTAATCAGCTTTCATTACTACTTCCCCTGTCTAGAACTTAAGTTAAAAAAGAGTTAAGGCTGAGCCACTAAAAAGCAGTGAAGAGAAGAAGGATCCACCCACCTTATTTGCAAGGCTCAAGTAAAGTGTAATGTAATTGTACCTAGGCACCTAAATTCACTTACGCAACTAACTAGCCTTCTACACCTTACAGGTATTGAGGAATTAACTGTGACCAGCTACATCTGCAAAGTACCTGTCATGCTATAAAAAGCTTCAATTAGCTGCAAAGTTAGATATCGAAAATATATACTAACTTTATAGCTGGTTGCTATCCAGCTTTAATTTCCACATGTAGCAGGGTCTCCCCTGCAGCTAGGAGCTACATCAGCTGACCAGGCTCCCACCCACAGGGGTGCATCATGACCAGCTGTGGCTGGAAGTCCCACTGCTAAGAGGACTCATAGCCCTGGCAGTGCCTGGCAGCTAAAGATACTGTATCCTGGCAGACGTGGGGCATGGCTGTGCTCTTCCAGCCCTGAGGGTATGTGGTGTGCTTCTGGGGTTGGGTGACAGCAGCTGCTGGGATCTCCCAGCTGTGTGGAGCTTCACACACCCCTGGGGCTGAAAAACTGCAGCTACTGTGATCTCCCAACTGTGGGGGGCTCCACAGCTGCAAGAACTTGCTCCTTGCTGGTGCACTGGGCTCCCCTTGCACTGGCAATAAGGTGCAATGGGATCTAATGTGTGATCCCATCCATGAATGCCATGTGCCCCCAGAGGCTGGGGGGGCACAGTGAACTCCCGCAGGCGGCAGCAGCGTGGCAGTGGCAAGTGGGGAGCTGCTGCAGGCAGCCGCAGCGCTGTCGGCAGCAGGGTGGTGAGTGCCGACCAGTGGTTGATGATCATCCACAGACACTGGAGTCGGGGGCAGGGTGGGGTGGCAAATGGCGACCACCGTCAGGTGCAACCGACAGTGTTGGTGGTGCCTTTTCGCAGGGGGTGCACTGCCACGCTCGGGGGGGTGCACGTGCACCTGCGTGCACCCCCTACATGTCGCCAATGATCCCATCCCATGATTACATATGTGTGGCATGGCAGGAGGCCCCATGTCTACTGCGTATGAAATCCCAGCACACATTTACCTGCTCTAACACTAGTATGTGTGGTAGAATCTGGCCCTTAGTGTGGTTCCTGGAAGGTGCTAAGCACCTTCACTTTTCCATTGACTTCTGTGAAAATTGCTCCCTGCCTTGCAGGATCAGGTCTTTAAAAATTCATATTGCAGCACTTTCTGGTAAGTGGCATAACCTTTCCACTTTCCCAGCACCATCCACTTCCTTAATATTTGCATGATCCATAGAAAAGATATTTATTTTCATGAAGCATATTTTCCAAGAGAAAGATTTCCAAGAATAAGAGCCAACCTAAGATTATCTGAGTGCAGGAAAATCCGCAGTTTGCTTTCAATCCTGCAAAACCTCGTGCATGTGAATTGTCATTGACTATGTGATTTCAAAGCAGTCAATAGGACTATGCAGTCAGGATGACTGAAGTGACAAGGGACTTGCAGATAAAAGCCTAGTTCTATATGTTTACTTCTATGAATTGAAGTGTGAAAAAACCCCTCATATAAGAACTACAGAAGCTTGGTAACTGTCCAAATAAAGAAGCTGCACTTTATAAAATTGGTGTCAAAAGAAATACTCCATTCTGGAGGCTCTGTAAATAAGTTTAGCTGTTTTGCTTCTACCTAATATGGTGAAAAATATAACAGGGATGATTGTTAGGCATGACTAGTATGACAAGATTTAAAGTACCTGCCTCATATTACCGTTCAGAGAGGCAACAAATAGTTCTTGCTGGTCTGCAGTTAATTTTAGAGTATTGGCTGAGAAGTCCACAACACTAATTATAGACTCTGTGTATTGCTATCAGTGGGTTCATGCTGAAAGACACTCAGAGGCAGAAATCAGTTTCAAAGTATATCTAACACAATTCTGACTCAGGAAAGACTGCATTGCCTTGCTTTCAATTTGTTAAACAATGAGCATGTGATAGAAATTATCAAGGATGTGGCAAAACCGTAATAGTCAAATAAGTTTAAGTGCATGTTTACCTGGTAAATTACAACCCGAAACTTGTTTTTTCTCAGCATCTCCTCTTGCTTGGCTTCAACTTTTTGCACATTATCACCCTGCTTTTCCACACGTGCTTTTACTTCTTTAACTTTGGAACTAACTTTGCGGGTCTTCTCAAGCAACTTGTTAACTGTGTAGCTTGTATTGCCATGAGCCTGGGCAAGCTTTAAAATATTGATCTGTACTGTCTTGATAGCATTTTCCATGTCTCTGTGCCGTTCCTCTATTCTTTTCTGACTTGCCTGTACGCTGTCCACAATGTTGGCCACTTTATCTAGGACCCTCACGATTGTAAATGCAGGGTCTTGTTCTTCTTCGTCTTCTGTGACATCTGACAGGCGATTTTGGTGAATTCTGTCAGTCTCTGAGATAACTTCATGGTGATCCATTTTGCCTGTCTCCAGTCAGGTCTACAGGAACCAAAGAGTATGCGTTCTCCACAAAGACTGTTCAAATCCTAGGGGAACAATTCTGCCTCTAGATCAAGAAGCCAGATCGACAACTGGCCTGAGCAATATTCAAAGCAGGGCGTGAAACTCCATCCTTGGAGATTGGTCAAATATTTATAACTACAAAATATCCATACGTGACTGTTCAGATACCTTCTGCAATATGAAACCTCTAACGAATCATGCCTGGAAAGGAACATACGTTTAAAGGGTCATGTTTCTGTACCAGCGAAGTCCTTGATGTTAATCTAGGAGAGTTAAGCAATTCGCAAATTACGTTGGAAAGCAAGCTACCATATTTTGGAAGAACTATGGTTGCTTTCATTTTAATTAAGTGCTTTCCCTGAGGAAATTCAGACAATGTTTTCAAAAGTAACCATAACTGTATTGAAACCAAAAGAATTAGTATGCAAATCATGACAGCTACCACATCAAGTAACAAATAAACACACTAAACAGAGACAATATAGTGAAAACATTGTATTGTGACATGCTTTTCCAGTTCAAAATGTTGAAAGCTTTTTATTGAAGAAATTACTAAATCCTACATGCAGAATTTTAAAAGCCTAAACTACATATTAAACAGCTGAACACATCCTACTCACATTTTATCTCTGGATCTTTCAAACAACAACTAACAGGCTATTAATATAACTATGACCAGCAAACTAATTTGGATGGCCTTAATTTAGCTCTTGAAAATATTCTATACAAGAGCGCTGGTAATTCATTGACTTTATTTTTTGTTTTCTGCATTTTAGTCACAAACACTATACAATCTGTATCATTGGTGTTAAAACACGTATCCTCTTAAAAAAGTTTAATAAGTATTAAAGCAGTTTTAACAGTGATAAAGTAGGCTTTATTCCAATTATTTGAATTTGATTATTCGACACTGGTTTTTACAACACTTAAATCTACAAAGACCTACTTTTTTGGACCTGTGCCAGCTGCCTCAATCAGGAAATTTCCCAAATTATGAAATTTATATTTTACTCTTTAAAAATAAAGTGTCAGTATTATTTATGAAGATGGTAGTGCTCAGACCCAGCCCATACATTTTATAAATATGTTACAACTACGCACAGCACACAATTCCACAGTTCATGCGATAGGCAGTGTCTAAAAAATCAGTTACTAACTTTCAAAAACATTGAAATATCTACGGTATTTAAACACAGTGTCTTCTAGTTTCTCATAAGAAAAGTAAGCTGTAAACATCTTCGCCTTTAGTTCATGCCTTGTTTGCTAGGTAATTCTTTCCCCCCCTTTTTTTTTTTTTTTATCTACAACCATTGGTGAATAAGTCTGTGTTCTCAAAAATATTACATTCCATGAGTAAAGCACAAGTCTATTATGTAACCATGTGATACAGATACAGAAAATGAACTACAGTTTTCAAAAACATAAAAGGAAAATTACTAAAACAGTCCATAGCTGTTGGAGCAGATTCTTTCAGAATACAACAGACCAATAGTGTTACACTAAAAATGTCCAAAAATAAGGCCTCTGAAATAAATATTTCCATTCTTTAAAAAAAGAGATAATAAAAATGTACATCACATGGTCAATGTGGGTATAAAAATCATCAAACTAAACCATTCTGGATGATGTATCTGAAGTAAAATGGCCTAAGTTTTGCTTCTGCCGACGTCCTCTATTGTTTTTAGGGCATTTTCTGTTTAAAGGAAAACAGAGAAAAGGCATTTTATAAATGCAGAATAGGACTGAAAGCATCATTCTACATTTACTTTCCTTTTACACCCCAAAATATCAAGATGAGTAGGGGAGTGCAGCTAACATCTGGGGCCCACTTTGGCACTTCAGAGTGTCTAAGAGACTGCATGACCCCCTGGTTGTTCAGCAGAGACTTCTTGCATGTGAGACTGAGGCTCAATCCTGCATGGTTCTGAGCATTTTACTTTGATCCAGGAAATTATTTATCATTCTGAACAATCTTCCAGGGCCCAATCCTGCACAGGGCTAGCACAGGCCCGATCTGGGTGTGCTGGGATGGGTGGAGGCAATGTAGGGACTAGCCCATGGGACTAGAAGATTGAGTACTATTGGGCTATTGGTTAAAAAAAACAGGAGGGAGGGAGCACCATAATAACTCCTGTATCTGCTCCTATAGTGGTCTTTTGTGTGGCATTAGATATCCTCTGAGCATATCTGTTGGATCAGACCTCATACGTAAGAAAGGTGGGTGAAGGCCTATTTTGTCATCCTAATGAAGTTAGGCATGAAACAGGTGCTGAGCAGGACTTAGGCAGTTAGGCCCACAAAGCATCAGAAACTGAGGGCCAGATTCTATTCCACTTATTAGAACTGGAAGTGGACTTAGAATCTTAAATGTGGTGCTATTCCACCCTGTTAAGCCTCTGGAAAACTGTTAATACAGATGGTGAGTGGGGTTTCCTCTTCCTTGCTGCATAGTATGATTCAATCATGAAGGTACAACGATGGGCTGTTAGAGAAGTAGATGCATTAATTTGTTTTCAGGGACTTGAGCAGGGTGGAATAGAGTTCCACTTATGTGCCTAAGCCCTAAGGCTCCATATCCATAGCTAGCTGCATCTTAGTTTCCAGTACAGTTTAAAGGACTTGCTGTAATCCATAACATCCTAAATAGTTAAGAAGAAGGGTACCTGATGGATAACTTTCTCTCTCCATGTAAAAACACTCCAGCTGAGACCAGTGGAAGTATTTAAACCACCAGCTCTCTGGTTTATATGCGAGGGAGAGGGGGCATGGCATTTTCTACCAGGTATTTTCAGTTCTTGAATCACTCCCATTTTTGTCTACAACATAATCCCATTTATTGGATAAATTGCATGGCTTATTTATTCTCACATGCTTTTGGTTTGGAGATTGGTAGGGATGTCCAAAATGGCTAGTTATGATCCGTATGTAAAGGGGTGCTTTCTTGAATCACTAGACCAGACTAGGTTACTGTATTTTGTATTTGTTTAAAACACAGAATTTCACAGTAGACAATTTCCTAAATATTTAGTTTCTAAATAAATGCATGTATTTATAAAATGTATCCAGTCATAAAATCTGTGATGCATGTTGCTTTGTAATTGCCTACCTTGTTATGCACATGACAATTGCAACTATAATGGCAATCTGTACAGCTCCAATTATTGCTGCAATAAGGACATGCGTAAGCTTTTGTCTACTTGGAACAACATATAGAATACTAAAGTCTGTCTTTTCACAGTGCTGTCCAGTATATCCTGATTCACACCTGAAAGAGAAAAGGAACATTTCACAGAATACACTGTTTTCATCGCTCTATAGATGAAGTATTAATGGGCATACTGAAAACATGGAAAAAGCAAGATATAACATAAGGACTGGAGGGTATTACAGTGATGGCAGGAACTCACTCTTTGTGACTGCACTGCTGCTTCGGGATAAATTAACGTCAGAGACCAGGTATGAAATATGAAGGAGATAACTGCCCAAGGGACTGCCTCTGAGGTTCTGCTAGTTTTGAGAATGAAGCCAGGAGGGCTGTAGCAGTAAACCAGTAGTGAAGAAGGCAGGGAGAGATGCAAAGTTTGATGGAGCATGGCTTCTTCTTCCATGGAGGAAGAGGGTGAAACAGACTGGGTGTTCTCCACTGTCAGATAGGGCAGCTCCTTTCAACTGAATACAGCTGAGAGAGAGGTTAAGGGCCTAATTCAGCAAAATAAATACACACTTCAAGTATGTGAGTTGTCTCACTGATTTCAATGGGAGTACCTGCATAAATCAAGTTAAGCGCATGCCAAAGAGTCTTGCTGAACTGGGCCCCAAGTTAAGGAACAATAAAGAGTTTGATAAAACAGGTGGTTGAGGAATAGTGCAAACCAGAAAGAGGGGACGTAAAACTAACCAGGAGTACCAAGGAAGAATGAAAGACAAAGGAAAAAGGGAAGTGACACTGTGAAAGAAACATGCTAATATAACAGGCCTATCAGAGCTGAACAGACCCAGCAGAGCGTGGTTGCTGTCACTTACAGGAACTGATCCCCGAGAGATCTGTTCGTAGGCTTCGGGGTCCAAATGCAAGCCTGTCCCACCTTTCCCCATTAGGCTAGACTCACAGAATGCCAAGTCAGCCACAAGTCCAGGCCACAAATTCTCAACAAAGGCCAGATGAGTCCCCTGGAGACTAGTACAGAAAGGTCAAAAAGGCTCAGATGTATGACAGCTTATAGGTCAGGTAAGTCATGTGGAGATTGCCAGGGAAAAGACAGCAGTCAAATTCCAGGCAAGACAGAGCCCTCCTCCACCCCATTAGAAACTCGTTCGGAGGCAAGGAATGTGCTGGCCCTCTTCAGCTCAAGCAAGTAACAATGCTTATATGGAAATGCTTGGAAATTTGGGAGGGGTGTGATCAGGCAGGGAGAAGGCAAAACAGGAGCAGCTGATGTGAATACCACATTTCGTGAGTAAACTAGCATATCTCATTGGAAAATTCAGTGGATGTTCTTAATGATGAGTAACACAAACTTAGTCCCTGCTGAGCCTGGCAGTGGTGAAGAAGCCAGTAAGAGGGTGTCTCTGGGTGACCCATGCTCTCAAGGGAAGGGAGGATGAAGAGCACAAGGAGAAGCAAGCAGTGAGTCAAGACTTGCTTGTCCCCTGTGAAGTCTACACGGTTAATGAGCTGCACCATGCAGCCAGAGCCAGGCCGTTGGCCTCCCTTCACTTGGGAGGAGCTAAATATCTACAGAAGTACCTCAGCTTTCATTGAAAAATGGAAACCTGTGGGTTTGGCCTTGTAAAGGCATCCTTGAAAACAAAGTGATGTACAAATATCACCAAACTTGAATTAAATGAGCAACTGTCCTTCTCCTCTGCAGCAGGAGGCCGGAAAGGAATGCATAAAACTAGGAAAAGTAGGTGTACCAAAGAATCACTCTTTATCTGACTCCCAAATCCACCCTTGGCCTTTGTGATACAATAATTATGTTTGGAGAGGCAAAAATGTGTTCCACTGGCCTCCTCAAAACAGTGAAAGTAGTCCTAATTGCTCTTTTACATGCAGGGAAAATGCATTCAGCACTATGAAATCCATCATTATTATAACTTAATTTTACCTATCTATGGGCTTTTCTGCAGGAGTCATATTTCCCTCACAAATGAGAGAAGTTCTAATAAAAGCAGAGTTATTAAGAAAAAGGTGCAATGTTTTTGTAGGGATCATAAGCCATGGATAGGAAAGGAACCAACAGAAATTCACATATGTACATAAGAAAGAAAAAGCTGAAAGAGGCTGAAATTATATGTCCATTACTTAATAGGAAGGAATAGAGAAATAGAACTGATAAGTAGAATCTATCTATAAGTAATGATCGGGAGAATAAATCTACGATAGGGAGAAGGTTAAGGACTTATTTGCTACTTTGCGTTTGTCTTTTTTGGGCACATCTACATGAGACGTTTTCTGTGGAGCTGACTAATTAGCTCCGCAATAAATGTCTCAGTGTCTATATATGTGCCCCTATTAGGGTGCAGGAAACTAATAAAGTCCACAGCAGGGTAGTAATTGTAAATACAAGTACTACACAGGTGCTGTGTTTTTTTTGTGTGCAGCAGGCAGCAGTGCATGTGTAGACACTGACCCAACTGGCTGTGTTACAAGGGTGCTTCAGGGAGCCATCACCCTCATGCCCCATCCAGCCCCTCCACAACACAGTGAACCCAGTCAGAGAAGCCCTGGGCTGGCAGGCTGATCCCCAGGCCCCTGCCAGCTGGGACTGCTCCGACTGGGCTCCATGTGCCGTGCATGAATACACGTTTATACATGTGTGCCAGGAGTGTGAAGGGGGAGGGTGCGCTTTAATTAAAGCTCATCGAATGAGCTTTAGTTAATGTGCCCCTGCAAATATTTTTCAGTGTGAAGACACTGACATACATTATGCTAGAGTCTACTGGAGCAGGGTAATTATCATGCTCCAGCAGACTCAATTAATTGTAACTGCAGTGTGTTGGAGCAGCCTTGCTTCACTTGTGCTGTGCATGAATCAACTCCAGAGCTGATTGTTCCAGAGTTAATTGCTCCTGGGCGCACGTTCAAATGTACCTCCAGGAGCAAAAAGCTCCAGACCAATAAGCTCCAAAGTTTATTCATGTGCGCTAACTGCACATGTAGATGTGCCCTTCAAGGAAGCTAATAACCATAGTAGGTTTAATGCAAGAATTATTTTAAAAACTAGGAGAAGAAAGAATGCAGAAGAAACAAGAAAAAATAGTTAATGAATACCTAGATAATCTTAAAATATGGAATTAATAATGATTCAGATTCAGAGAGTGTCACCCTGGAATGCTAGACACATTCCCAGAAATATTGAAATGGTTGGAAATTATTTTTGAGAATTCCTGGGGTTGGAGTCAGGATAGACTTTGAAGGCAAACAAAATACATTGTTTAAGACTGGAACTGGGGGAGGGGTTGAAACACTCAATTGTAATTACATGATAAACTGACAGCACAATTAACAACACAATCTATTTCTTAAGTACTTAATGGAAAGTAAGATGGTAAATGGCAGACAATGGAGGTTTATCAAAACAAAATTATGCCAATGTGCTTCTCACTACTAGGTGAATAACACTGAAATATTTCTTTAATTAGAGAAGAAGCAAGGGACATAACAGTGCCTGGCTGGTGCAGCCCTTCACTGGGGGTGATATGGAGCTGCACCTTCTCAGGGGGAGCAGGAAGCAGCTCAGAGCCCAAACATATTGAGACCATGTATGCTCATGGCTGCCACATTTAATGGGGTACAATTTACTAGCACATCAACTGACCAAGCAGGCCCATTGCTAGACTTATGAAACCATAACTACCTTTCTCTGTATTCCAGTAGGGTACCAGGTACCCTCAGAGCAGATGACTGTGCAGGTCTGCCTAAGCTCTGTGTAAGGAATAAGGTAGTTTTTTGCCTTCACTGTGCAGCTGGTTGCGTCTGGTAGCAACTAAGATGCAGCAGATAGATTGTATGTAGACATTCATAAGTTATTTGAGATATCAGTGCTCACTACCCAAAAGCCAGGACTAAATTTTAGATTTTGGTGTACACTTGGCTTGCAAGCACATGAATTTCTGTGGAAAGGATACCCTGAGATTTGCATGTAAGCATGTAAATAAGAACTGCCTATGACATCAGATTTTCCACACGTACAAGTCTGGTGTGCACAGGAGTGAAAAAGCACAGTACAAAAAATCTGCCCCTTCACCTTTACCCACTAGATGCTGCAGTTTATTCTGCTTATGAGGCCCATTACTGCACCTGGGCACCTAAGTAGGATCCATTCCATCCTGTTCCACTCCTGGAGAGTCATTAAATGCTTCTACTTTGTAACACCCCATTATCTGACTTTTAACACAAAAAGAGCAGTGAGGAAGGGGAGTATCAACCCACCTTCACAAACCTGAACTTCCCAGGAAGCTCCAGCTTCCTTCTCAGACACCTACCTGCACCCCCATAAACACATCAACATCTATTCATCTACCAAGCACCCAGACATCTGATATATCAGGTGCTACGAAAAGCTCAGTGGCAGAGTCACACTGGCCTGCAGAGCAGCACTGGTGCACTGGGTGGAGCGATCTACTCCTTCCTAACGTGTGTGCAAAGGTGGTGTTGGGTGGTGCTGCACAACCTCCAGCACAGGGAGGCATCTTCCCTGCCAGTGTGGCTATTAACATGCTATTGGGAAGTAATGCTTTTGCTATCTTATGTATAAAGTCCATTGCTGTTTAATCAGCATCCAGAATGTTAGAATGCCTTTTTGACAGAGGCAGTATCTATGCTGCTTATATTCTCTTACTTACCGGCAGGAAGCCTTCTGAGTGGAATAAATGAATTCGCATTTTCCATGTATACAGTAACCATTGAAGCTTTCTGAACAAGGTATATGGTTTCCAATATATATGTCTTCTCTTTGATCACTGGCATCTTAGGAAAAAAGCACACATGAAGACAGGTTTACAAAATATCAAAGAAAAACAAATTATAACAGCTAACAAAACTCTTTCTGCAGAGATGAAAGATGAGCCCTTTGTGACAACTAAATGTGCTATTTTTGTGGAGAAAAATTTCCCTGAGGAAGAACCAACATGTTGCAAAAAGAGTGGAAGTTCTGGGGAAACAGTTGGAGTGTACAGCAATGCACTTAGAGAAGGCTCCTTCTTCCAGCAAAGAAAGAAAACAAAAGGGTTAAAAGGGATAAAACAGCGCTTCATGATTAAGAAACCTTGCTGAAGCCCTGATCTGATTTCCTGAGTCAATGATGACACCACAATGGAAATCCTAGGAAAAGATGTTCACATTCTGAAAAACCTCCAAACACAGATGAAACCTTAAAATGGGAAGACTGCAGGCACAGCTGGTGAACTCAGACTGGTGGGGTGGGTGGAGCATCACACGGGGGAGGAGGGGGCGTTGCAGCTAGCTGGGCTGCAACGGCCCCCCGCTCCCAGCTGGCTGCAAACCACCGGCCCCCCCAACAATGTGCCACTCCACCCACCCCACCAGTCTGAGTTCACCAGCCATGCCTGGCAGACTGTTAGCTTGCACTTTTTCAGATTGTGAGACTATACAAAGAATTGGTCATTTCTTGCCTACAGTCTGTCCCTACTTATTTCTGAAGTGCAGGTGGCTCAAATAGGGAAGTCTCTCTCTGGCTCTGAACCACTCTAAAACTCAGGGATTTCAGGCCAATTTCCACACAGTTTCATAGTTTCTAGGGTTGGAAGGGACCTGAGCAGATCATCGAGTCCGACCCCCTGCCATGGCAGGAAAGATTACTGGGGTCAAATGACCCCAGCAAGGTATACTTCTAGTCTCCTCTTAAAGACCTCCAGGGTAGGAGCCAGCACCACTTCTCTTGGAAGTTGGTTCCAGATCCTAGCTGCCCTGACTGTGAAGTAGCGCCTCCTGATATCTAGTCTAAATCTACCCTCTGCCAGCTTGTGACCGTTATTCCTGGTCATTCCTGGTAATGCTCGGGGAAACAGGGACTTCCCCAGTGCCTGCTGGTCCCCTCTGACTAGTTTGTAACAGGCCACTAGATCCCCCCTCAGCCTTCTCTTGTGGAGG